CAAATAAGCTCAGGTCACAAGATATTATTATATCCACGTTAGAATCCTCACAGTAAAGACAAAATGATATCATGCTTTTGATAAGTTTGTGGACAGTGTATCAGCTGAAATGTGCAACATTATGGCGAGTTATCCTATGTTTGGAATAAAATGTGAATTGCTAGGCGTACATGTGAGTACATTGGCCTCCAGAGAGCTCACCTGAAACACGTCTGTATAAAAAACGTAAGTATCGGGTCGATTCTGACAGTAAGAAACTGATTTCCACGGAGGTCTAGTTGAAACTAGAAAAAGGAAAAGTAATCTAAGTCGTTGTCTTTGTTTATTTCCGAAAGTATGATTGTATAGACCTTGTATATACCTTAGACATTGGTAAATACTATCATCTTACTATGTTGAATGAGTGAGGGGGTTGGGTTTAACGCCCCTTTTAACAGTACTCCAGTTAATGTGGGAGGAAAACCTGAAGTGATGCAGATGCAAGAAACCCACGAGCACGGGTATGGTGCTGACAAACCTAGAAACATAATTGGGACGAACCGGGATTCGAACCCACAATCATAGGTTTCTGGCGTGCCCAAGGGACGCAACTCTGCACAGCGAATCGCGGCGCCTTAGACGACTGGGCCACCCGTGCCCCCTTTCAAATTTGAAGGGAACATGTTTAATGCTAAGAATATATTATCTAAGGTTTTAAACGTTCGACTGAACTACTTAATCAAGTGGTTAAAGCGCTCGTTCTTCACTTACAAGGAATGGGTTCATCCCCTACATGGACCTTATGTGCGTTGTTCCTTTCTGGTGTCTCCCGCTGAGATATTGTTGGAATGTTACTAAAAGCTGAGTAAAACCAAATCCACTCATTCGCTGTAAAAACAAGGTTGTTTGCTGTCGCCTCTATGATGCTGATGATATTATTTTAATATATTACAGAACTTCAGATAACGCTTGACTGTCACAGTACGTGGTACATATTTACAATATGTGTGTAAATACTAATAAATCATATGTGGTTCAATTTAGACCGCAATTAGTCATAAGTATGCGATGATCTTGAAACTGTAGAGAGTTACTATTATCTAGGTGTATTGTTAACACAGAACATTAAGATTCCGCTCCTATTGTTAAGGCACCTTCTACTTCAGCCAAATGAGCACTTGGTGTATTAATTACAACGAATACATTTTATTTGGGCTGGAGTGTCGGTGTAGTCTCTTTTTGCCTGCACTTTAATTGGCTATAAGCGGATTAGGATTAACAGTCCAGTGCCTGCAAAATTTTAGTCTTTTCAAGTAAGTGGAGTTCACTCACTGACCACAGTTTACTTAAATGTATATGTAAAAAAAATGTGATAAACTGTACTTTTTGAATTTGTGTATTATGTCATGTATATTTAGTAAATTAAAAATATAAAATGTGTTATATGCAATTAAAACAAAATGTGATAAACATTACTTTTTGTCCCTTATTTGCCTGCATACTTGCATTTAAAATACAGACTATAGCCGTAATCCCCATTGTTCTAGGGATTTAGTACGGGCCACTGATTTTATGAGTATTGGTTGATAACAACATCTGGTGTCACATGACACAAAATAATATGTGTATGCCTGAAGTAGATCATATTTTATTCAGGAAATAATAGCTAGAATTGGTTACCCGAACAGACTAAATGGTTATATTTCCCTTTCATAATCTATTTTTTAAAGTAACCCTCCTTACATTAAAGATAACTATTTAAAGAATATAGTACTTAATGACATTGCAACAAACCGAATAATCAGGGGGGAGACTTTATACTGAGGGGGGAGCGAAATATATCCGCCCGGGGGAGATTTTATTTCAGAACAGATTCGCCGGGGGAGAATCTGTACCGGTATACAATCTCCGGGGGGAGAATTTGTACGGGGGAGAGTTTATACCGGGACACCGGCAAAAAGAGAACACCCCGGAGTGTCGTGGGTTTACAACTTTATATGACTCGAGGGTTTGGAATGTTGGATCCTATATTTAGGGTATTAAGTCTCATGTTTTATTGTTTCAGAGGTTAAACACTTAGTGTTTAATGTGTGTAAACAAGGACGGAAAAGTGCAGTTACGAAACCTGCAGTTTCATCTGACAAGAGAGGTATTGAACTTAGATTGTCTTGCCGTATAGAACACAGTTCACGAGTGTGTTAATTGCCCTTTGTCCCGAGCCAACATCAGCACCACAACAAAGGAAGAGGCACTGCTCCTAAAACGCACATTAAAATGTCACATATAGAAATAGGGTGGTATATTTGTATACAACTGGATAATGGGAAGTGGTTCCATTGTATGAATCTTGCTGGGAATGAGTGCCACGTTGAATAGAATTGTCCTGTTTACAATGTTCAGCGTCGTATACTTTAAAACAGTTGTCTTGATAAGCAGCCTGTGTGATATTGAAATATAATAATTAATTTTGTCTTATGATATTTTATGCCATGTAACTATCATGATACAAACAAGTGCAAAAGTGAGCGTGGCTAACTAATACCCCCGAAAGGCCGAGAAGGAATGAAGCAGCAAACGTGCAAACGTTTTTTTTGTCCGCTTGCCTTGGTTCCACAAATTGTATGCCATTGGGTTTGATTTCTAACCCGCATTTTTCCAACTGTGTCTTCCCTTTCTTTGGAAACTAATGTTTGAATCTGGCGGTAACTGCCCATGTCATTTGAAACAACCGCGTTATCCCGGACATATTTGTTCCGGTTCGTTACAGTCTGATTCTTACTGTTCTTCTCGCCTCTTGCCTTGCTTGACAGGTCCTATAAGCTTTGTTTTGATCCTACTCTCCGTTGATTGGCTGCTGACTTTGTGGGCATGTCAAGTTATGTGCATAAATGAAACAATCGACTACTATTGTAGATAAACAAATATAGAATTGACTTTAACTTTATTTGAGTTATTTGGAGTATGAACCTTCATGGAGTGAGGGCCAAACAAGCTCCATCAAGTATAGTTAAGATACTGTTAACATTCTGTGTCAGTTCTATTAGTTTTTGTGGGACACGGGTGGTCCAGTCGTCCAAGGCGCCGCGATTCGCTGTGCAGAGTTGCGTTCCTTGGACACGCCAGAAACCTATGATTGTGGATTCGAATCGAGGTCGCCACGATTAATTTTCTAGGTTTGTCAGCACCATACCCGTGCTCGTGTTTTTCAACAAAGTGGCAAACGTCTGATCATGAGACCTGCATCACTTCGGGCTTTCCTCCCACATAAAGCTGACATATAACTGGAATACTGTTAAAAGCGGTGTAAAACCAAACCCACTCACTCACTCTATTAGTTTGTAATCACTTGCGACCAGTAAAAAATGCCAATTAAAAAATAAATGCCTCTCCACCTTGACTTGACTTAACCTACAAACGGGCCAGGTTACTGATCACAACTGTCAATGGCTGCAAGTGTTGCTAATGACGGTCTCCGTGCTTCTGACACGTTAAAAGAAGCACCATGACAACCCCGATCTATGATGTGGTTGAACAAGGATACCCCTTTTCAACCAAAAGAAATCCAGCATTCATCAATGTCGAAGTAGAATTGATTATATTCTGGAAGTAATTAGGTAATATAATATTCAAAGTAATATTCATACCATTATGGTTTGGATCCAAAGCTTGTATTAATTTATAGAAGTGGACTGGTCTTTGGGATTTCCATACACCACCTGTTAAGAGAGCATATGACAACTTTGACACGTGGGCGTATAATTATATCCAATATTCATTTTGGCAGTGTTTGTGATAGGCTGGAACTAAATCAGAATCAGATTACATATACATTCTTCAAACCATATTGAATTTGTGACTATTTCAATATCAGTTTACATTGTAATCAATGCAACCCGTGTCATGTTTTTTATGGGAGAAGTGTTATTTATCATATCCGACACAATGTACTGGACAGATTATGGTAAATTTGGAACCAACAAGTATGTTACACCGACACCACTTTCAACTTCTGATTTATTGTCCCCAGTGAGATGACGTCTTTCCACACATGCATATTATCAGTTGTGAAGTTTGGTATTGTATATCTCTTACGTTGACAACCTAATACATAATTTGTATCCCTCTTATAGCATACATACGATATGGAAAGGCGGTTAGATGATGGGAAATGGGGTTTAACGTCGCGTTCAGTATGATTGCACTTCTATAGCGTCGTGCAAACACGTGTTTTTGTGTAGCTAGTAGGGACTAAGGTCGAGTTTATAGTGCTAACATACTCAGATACCATGCCACAGTTTATTATGGACACCCAACTCAGACAAAGCATACTGACTCCAAGCGAATAAGTTCTTGATTTAGCCCCTTAGTGCCGAACGACAGTCAGGGTAACATCAAGTACCATCTTGAAACATTTTTTGTATGACGCGGCCGGGAATCGAACCCCTACCTTCCACTCTCCAGGCAGATTTCTACCACTAGATCACGAAGATGGTCGCAAAGACGCAAAAGTAATAATCTCCTTATCATAAAATGTCATGCTCAAAATGAGTGAATGTTAAGGCACATTGTTATTCACTTTTGTAGCTGTAGCAACCATGTTGGAAAAAAGTCTCAGTCTTAGCCTCATGTATGATATAGTGGCAACTGTTGTACAGCCATGTATTTGCATAATTACTCACATAACAGGAAAACGCTGTCTAATGATTTAGGGAATGCTATGCAGCTTTGGTACAAATATACCCCACATCAATGTCAGCACATCAGCTTATTAAAAGTAGTTCCTGCCAAGTGACGTCATTTGCATGTTTATCTGATCGTTATACAAAATTTACAGGGTTGGATTTCACATCGATGACACTTATATTCACTTGATCAATCTTTTCCTGGTGACTTAAGTAAATGGTATCTTTCAGTTTTGTATCGTGCCTCAGGAACATATATACCAGTGTCCTCTCGTAACATCTCACCCTCTCTTCGTAAAACATTACTCACGTAGGATGTGCATAAAAACAAACAAACCATTGTTTCTAAGAATTTTATCTACTGAAGTTTTCCAGCAACGAGTGCGACGGATGTCACGTGGCCACCGTTTCCATCATAGGTCATGCTGACGGTGTTTGTTGTTTTCATCTGAGAGGGGGGGACCATGAACACCCACACGTTCCATTTTGTTTTCCCCACAATCTTCGAAGCATCAAACAGCATGTAGCTTGTAGACAGCGTGTGGCCATTGAAAACAACACTATGAGGTTTTGCATTGGCATTCTTGTCTCTGCTAGCTCCCACTCTAAGATAAGATGTATGGTAGCCAGAGCTGGGTAGATGGATGGTTGTCTGCGCATGCCCGTTGCTGATGGGGATGAGCATGTCCTTGCCATAGTATGTGATCTCGTTATCCGTGCGTATTCCGTTAAAGTTGTAGTTGGTTTTAAACTTGTAGAAGCAGGTTGAGGATCCGGGGAGACCAACGGTGCCATGAAGCTTAGATCTATCGAAAGAGTAATCGGAATTCATAGTTGGCTTACCGTTTTCGAACAGAATGCATGTTTCTTCACCTGTAGAAGGGTTGATCCAACTGTTTGGAAAGTCAAGTTTTACATTCTCAAATTTGCTGCCATAGTTGTGCAGAAGAACTACCATCTCTTTGGTGTGAGGGTTTGCAAGGGCAAGTGGTGAAACTATTCGCTCCTGTCCATTGTATTCACTTGAAACTCGGAGAAACCTTTGATCATAAACAAAGTTTTTCCAAAACAGGAAGAATTTGGTCATTTCAAGGGGATGACCATCCTTTGTAAATAGGGAATTTCGAAGGGCAGTATGACCCGGGAATTGCTCATTTGAGAGGAGAAAGATTGTAACTCTGTCTATAAACTCTCTCAGGTTAAGGAAAGTAAACATGAAGCCGTTTGGTTGATAAATGGTTTCAAAGTCTGTCATTGCATTTTCAAATTCGCGGTCCACTCCTACCAGGTTATCTAAACCTAATCCAAATTCTGTGTTGACTAACTGAACATTTTTTCCTTTCTTTTGATGAGAGTAATTCTCTACCATGTCAAGAGTAGCAACCAGACGAGCTTCGTTGATGCCAAAGAAGGTGTGGTTTGCACCCGCCATTTGCAAATAGTTGTAGGAATGGAAAGAGAAAAAGTCCAGGTGATCAAGAGACATGTCCAGAAACTTAGCAGTTCTCTTCCAGTAGGCGAAGTTATTTTCATCTCCTTGTCGTAAGGCCATACTGGTGTACGATGGCCCCGCAACTTTCATTCCAAATCTTGATTTCAGCTTGTCGGCGACGGCCTTGTGGAAGTCTATATTCGTTTGTGGGTTAATAATGTTTTCCACCCAATCAGGTTCATTGAGGGCTTCAAACATGTAGGGAAGGCGTCCTGATGTGTAGTCCTTGGCACTCTGAACCATCAGTGACACAAACTCTGACGCAGCGTCAACGTTGTTTGGAAATTTTCCATTGTGGTGAGACTTATCTATCCAGCTGGGCCAGTGCTGACCTGTGAAGATGTAACATATACAATTAGAGAATAAGTCAAACATATTCATTTTGTGTTGAGCTACGTGATGGGTATGTCAATGTGAGTAGATTGGTGACGTTGCAGATATTTACAACTGTTGGTGAAATAAAATAGCATGTGTATTCTGCAGACAGTGAGGTTAGCAGGGAAATAGGATTAGTGACTGAGTGAGTTGGGTTTAACCCCGCTTTTAACAGTATTCCAGTTATATGGCAGCGTGTCAACTTAAAGTGGTGGGAAAGCCCGAAGTGATGCAGGTCTCAGACGTTTACCACTTCGGTGAAACCCACGAGCACGGGTATGGTGCTGACAAACCTAGAAACATAATCGGGGCGAACCGGGATTCGAACCCACAATCATAGGTTTCTGGCGTGTCCAAGGGACGCAACTGTGCACAGCGAATCGCGGCGCCGTAGACGACTGGGCCACCCGTGCCCCCGAAATAGGATTAGCTTCAACGAGGACTGAAACAGTACTTAAAGGCTAAGCCCAGACACCTTTAACACATTTTCTTTGTCTCCAGTTATTTTTGAAAAAATTGTGTCTCTTTTTAAATCCTAAGATTTGATGACTTGTGATACCTTCTATGTTCCAGACCATGTTGTCGATGTAGTTCCCATATTCGTTCAATTGTTGCACATACCATCCGAATGTCTTTGCTTGGAGTGCATGGTCCTGGAGGTAGGCAGGATCTGGGTAACCATGGCGATGTGGGTTTTGAGGCCACTGAATAAAATACAATAATATAGTATAGATTTTCAAGTTTTCCCAATCAACTAATAAATGTTCATTTTGCATGGCTTCCATGTTGGGAGTAAATGATCATACATTATCCCAGAACAGCATTGTTGAAACATTCATTTGTTTTGAGAGGGTCTTCAAATATGTTATTAACAAATAGATTACCATATCGTCATACATTTTGGTAGCTGAACTGCAGTGCTACACTGTATATGTAACATTTAATAATACTGTTATCGCATAATTTTGATGGACCATATCTGTACTCTATATAAGACAAGTAGTGTTTCCAGCCACATCATAACAACAAATATTTATTTATGTTTTTTTTATAAAGAATACATTGATTGTATAAATATCTGCAAGAATATGTTCCAACACTTAACCCATAGACCTATGATTCGTCATTGGTGTCTAAGGGTATTGCTTGCACCATATGCTATTCACATTCATTTTAAAATCATCAGGTGATAAATATAGAGTTGCGTTTCATTGCAAAGCATTTTAAGAGTTGATTTGCTTTACTCTTCATGGGTGTTCATTCAATTCATATATCAAATAATCATGCAGTAACACCCATTTCTGGTGTCCCCCGCCGTGATATTGCTAGAATATTGCTAAAAACGGCGTAAAACTCACTCACTCATGCAGTAACATGTTTGATCTGAGATTGTTTCCTGCTCTTTACAATGTATCAGTGATTGCAGGTATAGACTTTACAGATCTAAGGTTACAGTTGGTGTGGATTTGAAGTGATGCAACTCAGCGATTTTCGGTGTTTGAAACCACTATGCCACTAAACGGCAACCTGAATTCAAAAGTGATTGAAACCAACAAACATTTGCAGTAAAGGGACACATTGAGTGACATAATCTGAACTGCACGGTGAGCATTTATAGATACATTAGCTCACACACTTTAACCATCTCATTCCAGTTTCAAGGTAGGTAGGAATACGGCTCCATACAATGTACCCATTAAAACATACTAGAATACTAAAATCATACATGAATCATATCATTGCATAAAGTTATTTCTGCATTCAAGATGCGTCTTGGGGCGGTCGTGTAGCCTAGTGGTTAAAGCGTTCGCTCGTCACGCCGAAGACCCGGGTTCGAATCCCGACATGGGTACAATGTGTGAAGCCCATTTCTGGTGTCCCCCGCCGTGATATTGCTTGAATATTGCTAAAAGCGGCGTAAAACCATACTCACTCACTCACTCACTCAAGATGCGTCTTACTTCATACGTACATTTGGGAAGAGATCATCTCTCAGGTCTCTGTTTACCCAACGTCCAGGAGCGGCTCCGATAGATTTAATCTTTGGAATGAGGTTCAACTGCGTGAGGCCATTAATTTTGTTCCATCTCTCAACTTCATAATGGAGACGTCCACCCTGGGCGAGCCACTCGTTGTAGATCGTGACGGTTGTGTCAGAGAACGTCTCTCCCCACAGCAACAAGGTGCTCAGAACCAGTAATAACATTCTTCTGTGAAATTATGTTACTTCTGTTCACCTTCATGGACTTTCAAACGTTTTATTTAAGGCTGTAATCTGCGTGTGAAAGCACCATAAGATTATGCTAATTAATTGATAAGGAAATGTGTGTCAAACTCAACAGTCGTTCCCTATGCTCTTTCTACAACATTAGGGGCGGTCGGGTAGCCTAGTGGTTAAAGCGTTCGCTCGTCACGCCGAAGACCCGGGTTCGATTCCCGACATAGGTACAATGTGTGAAGCCCATTTCTTGTGTCCCCCGCCGTGATATTGCTGGAATATTGCTAAAAGCGGCGTAAAACCATACTCAGTCAGTCTGTCTACAACATTAAAGTTTGATATGGAGTTTTCGTTCACTTCTGGAAAAAAAAACCTATAAACATGACCGTAGTGGCAGTAGCATTACATGATATCAAGTTTAGATCATGAAAGATGTTTAAATGGTACATTCTGTTTGCCCGTAGCCAATGCTGCAGTGGCGGCACTATACTACATCAACAGATTGTGACAATATCTGACGACTACAGTCCGAACCATGGATAACTCCACGTACATTCCAAGTTAGTAATGAAACAGTCACCAGGAGAGCACACTATGCTCATTATGTCTCTTCAGGCAGGTTGTAACACAGTATTTTATTACTGGAGAGCCTTATTAGACAGCGAGTGAGTGAGTTATTATTTTACATCGCATCGGGAATATTGCAGCCATATAGCGATGAGAAGAAGTTGACAAAGGACAGTAAAACAGCAAGGTGAATATATCTCACTTAAAACACACCTGATCAAAGAATTGTTCACTCAATAAGTTAATATAAATAAATACCAGGCTTTTGACCACTGGCAATCACAGCTAGACCACCCAAATGGGGGTCATGGGGACTTACGTTGCTTTTGCTTCCTGTATGATTCCCATCAGGATTGATGCCATCACTTTGGTCACCAGTGGTTGTAGGTAATGCTAACGAATATTAAAAATCTACAATCAAGATAACAAAGCACTAGTCACAATTATATACTTCAGTATGGATGGACTCACGTACCACTGTTGGGGGACAACAATTTTACACTACTTTAACCCCCGAGTGGCACTGCGTTCAATAACATCCGTTGATGATAAAATAACACTATTCTAAAATTATTCAAAATTTATCAAATAATTCAATGTCTCTTAAAAAGTCAAAAATTAAACGAACACTGACAAAAGTAAAACGATCCTTTAATGAGATTGAATAACAAAAACTGTCCCTTGCGATAGAACGTCTACACAGTCAACCAAGATATGCTTGACTTATGAGACAGCGTCCGGTTCTTGGGTACATAGTCGGACTTCAATACCTGGAGGCCAGAAGTCTGGATTAATATGTCCTCATAGTTCATGTACACCTGCACACTGTAGGTGTGTCAGTACTTGAAAGATTGATTCTTCTTCATTAGTCGAATAAACGTGGCATCCACAGGCCTATCCTGGGCGAAATCGTACATGATAATTTGACAGAGCCAAATGGTTCATTAGCTTTGAGGTTGTACAAAACTAATCGTTTTGTCTGGAATGTCGGTACATTCTGTCTTTTAGTCAGTGATCTGATGGGATGCAATATCTATTTGTCGTAGGTGAGGTTGTAATCGGCGGGTTCTGCTTCAACTCGAACACAGCTCTGTTTCACGAAACTAATCCTGGTAGGTGAAGTCTTTGTCGTAGGTCAGCTCAGTTAGATCAAGGTAATTGTGTCTTGATTTATCCCTGGTCGCAGCGATGATATCTTGTCTCACATTCACGAAGTTGGGTGTCAGAGTGAGTGAGTGAGTGAGTTGGGTTCCGGGGTAGAATAGGTCTTCAACAACCCATGTTTGCCGTAAAAGGTGACTCTGCTTGTCGTAAAAGGCGACTGACGGGATCGGGTGTTCAGGCTCGCTGACTTGGTTGATGCCTGTCATCGATCCCAATTGCGTGGATCGATGCTCATGATATTAATCACTGGATTGTCTGGTCCAGACTCGATTATTTACAGACCGCCGTCATATAGCTGGAATATTGCTGAGTGCGGCGATAAACAACAAACCAACCAACCAACTTAATCTCCTCATTCGAGCGCATATAAATATCTGATAATCCCCAGTGAGACCATTTCAGTTATTCATACTTCACCTAAATGATAACACATTACATAAAGACAAGTAAAACAACAAGCAATTTCAAAATGCACTGTCATTCACGTCGGGCGATTACCTAGCAATAATAAGTCTCAATGATCTTTATTTTTTAAAACATCATCGCTCCAGTTGTACCAAAAATGAGTGTTGTTCAACGCTGCAATCAACGATTTTCTCGATCTGTAAATAATCCAACAATCCCATATTTTACACTATGGGCATCGATCAAAGCCGGTGCTCAGTTTGAAAATGAAGTGGCCTATGTTGATATGTTGGCATGTTGGTTGTGATTAACTGTTACTTTTTAGTTGTGGTTAGTCTACAGTTGGTGATATGAAGAGGTATATTTGGCTTATTATTTATCATAACACATTTCAAGGTCTGGAACAACTGACGAATGGTACATGTGACGTGTAAGCGCTTGGAGTTGCCACTCTGTATAGGAATACACAATGCCATTTAGAAAGTGGTCAAATGTAACAAATGTTATATTTGGGATAACACTTTCGGCCATGGGAGCCGTGCCAATTTACACTTGTCAGAGGGGTACTCAAAGTACGTGATCTAGACTACCAGTTGTCGGTGGCTGAGTGGGTTAGATCGCTGACTTTGTGTGCTGGCGACTAGGTGCCTCACTCTGGCAAGTGTGGGTTCGAATCCCCGACGGGACTCAACCAAAAAAAAGTACGAGAATCTGTACTTTACTAAGAAAGTGTTATCCCAAATATAACATTTGTTACTCTCTGTATAGGTTAACATATTAGATCTTGAGGACATATAATAAAAACTGCAAACAATAACAAAGACAATGTTGAGTGCAAGTACCATAAAGACTCAATAATAGTCAGTCCTGTTCACTATATTTGCTACGTTAAGTAAGCAACACTTCATTTTCATAAGCAATGCATAGCGGACGGATATGATATCGCAATAAAATTGAGTCTGAATTCCCCAGGTTTCAAATCCTCAAACTGACTTATCAGCAAAGCTCGCTGCCCTACGTTGGACAGATCCGAGAACAAAGACTGCAACTGCAGTCAGAAAAGAATGAAACCTACTGCTTTCTAAAGTTCTAAAGGAAGTGTCTGGTATCGCGTGCGTCAAGGGATAGGCGCATTTATACAAGGCACAACAAAGGTTGGTTGGTTGGTTGGTTGGTTGGCTGGTTTGTTGTTTAACGCCGCACTCAGCAATATTCCAGCTATATGACGGCGGTCTGTAAATAATCGAGTGTGGACCAGACAATCCAGTGATCAACCAAGTCAGCGAGCCTGACCACCCGATCACGACGCTGACAACTTAATCAAATTTACTGATGGTTTCGGACGTTTTTTTCCCGCCAAAGAATAAACATCCAAACACACCCCCCCCCCCCCCCCCCCCCCCCCCCCCCCCCCACACACACACACACACACACATCAACCCACCATCCAAAAAAGCCCTCAAAAACGGACAAAAGGACGGTATCGTGTCTGGAGTGAAAGTTGCAAACTACGATTTTCTGTCCTGGACAATTATTTCTAGCGAACATTGTTGTTCCCCAGAGTACAAAGGGTACTGACAACTACGATGCCAGCGTTGATTCCCAACATGGTGCATTGTTCGAAGCCAGTTCTTAGTGTCCCAGACTTCGAGGTGGATGTGATGTTGCAAAAGCAGCTTTTCAATTTAGTGTAGAAACGTGACCGATTGACACGTGGTTTAAGAGATAAAGCATGTGTGACAATATGGAACTCAACATGTGCGAACAGCGACATTGAAGGAGAAGGTTATGGTGACATGGATCTTCAAGGTCCGAAATGGGGTCGGCAACAAGTTGTTTGCCTGCGTTGGTCATTAATCTGAATTTTTTGCAGGGATGTTTGTTATATAGAAAGATACTACACGAATGTTAGATACCTTTTATCTTACGAGTTAAAGCGATTTAGATACGCTTTGAAACAACGAGTTGTAAGATAAATTGAATCTTACAGGCACGAGTGCAGAAATCTGTTTCTAACATTGCCATTTTAGCATCGAATCGATGCATTTTGTATATTCCTATGATCGCCGGGGCGCATAAATATATACTGAACCAAAGTAAAAACTTCACAATCCTAAAATTTTAACATTGTGACCAGTTATCAATATGGACCCTTATTGTGTATTTAAACACTAATGGCCACGTATTGTCTTCAGATAACACCCGTTTTTGTGCAGGTGAATCGATCAAAATCATGTGCACAGCACTATAGTGGCAAAAGTGTTTATTCACGTGCAACTGGTCACGTGGCCATAATACCGCACGTGTTTTCAGCCATACTTGTTAGCAGTCATTAAAAACGAGAGAAAAATACAAGAAAACAAAAGTCTTTACGGCCATTCGTCATGCCACGCCTTTCAAATGTGCAACGTGAACGTGCCATCGGCATGTTGCAGACGGGAACGTCCGTAGCTGAAGTCGCAAGGACGATGGGTTGTAGTCGACGGACTGTTTATGATTTACAGACGCGTCTACAGCAAACGGGTACCACCGCTGATCGCCCTCGGCCAGGTCGACCACGTGTGACGTCACATGCAGAGGATCGTCAGATTGTCTTACGTCACCTCCGTAACCGATTTTTAACGGCTACACAGACGTCAACGTCATTTGTAGGCACAGCGACACTTACGATGGACTCTGAAGACGACTTTATTCCAATTCCTCTGTGATGAATCCCGATTTAATCTTCGATTTGCTGATGGTAGGGCGAGGGTGTGGAGGCGCCGTCATGCACGTTACGCCCAGTGTTGTGTACAGGAAGTTGACAGATTTCGAGGCGGAAGTGTCATGGTGTGGGTTGGGGTGCTTTCTGTGGCAATGCACGTTCCAGGCTTCTTGTCATCCGTGGCAACCTCAACGCTGCCGCTTAC